TAGAAATGAAAGTTGAAAGGTCATATATTCTTTCCGGCTGCCAAGCACTCGAAGTAGAGTAAAACTTTGAAATTAGGTCAATGGTTTCTAATGCTCAGAACTTTAAAGTTTAACAAAGTGGAGCAGAGTTTGCTTTTTTTTAAGGATACAATGGGTATAGAAATGATTGCTGCTTAACTAAAGTGGGGCTGAGGATGAAAGAATTTTTGTACAGTGGTTTTGTGATAATCATTTGTAGAATGAATAGGCTACTTTACTAGTCCTGGTAAAATAGAAACAAAGGCTATTTTGCCAGTCCCACTGAAGTAGATACCAAGGCTAATTTGCCAGTAAATATAAAAGAATATATATATATATATATATATATATATATTTATATATATAGACAGGTTAAATAAAATAAAATAGTTTAAAGGATAAAGATCATAATCTTATTATTAAAATAGATAAAAAATATCACATTTAAGATTTAAGATTTTGGCTGACACTTCTTCAGAAACAAAATCATCTGCATTATAAAACAAAATAATTGATAAGAAAAAAAATTACCAACAACTGATACTAAGACATAAATTACCAAATTGGAGTAGGCAATTGCGGGGGAGAAAAAAAAAATTACTAATTTTCTTCCCTGTCAGGTAGTTGTTTCCCTGAATAGTGTCAACTTATATTTCAACTCCTGTTGTCTACACAGGGCAGGACATTGCATGTTAATAATGATAGACTCCAAGATGTCTAAATGGAGTCATGTGCATCCCCTGTGAAAGACAGAAAAGAAATCAGGAGAATAATTTGTCTTGCAGGCAACAGAATTTAAAATGTGCTCACCAATCATAGAATCATATATATATATATATATATACTCCTCATGTTATCCTCTATCTTTATAAGAGCCAGACAGACCAAAAATGGAGAACTGTTGCCATATTTGGATGGGAGCTGCCTAGACCTCACTTTCCAGACTTGATAGTTGTAAAAGTCAAAAGTGTCTCCAAGTCCTTGTTAAAGAAGAATTACGTTCCACCCTCCAAACTCTCTGTCACAGGCAGAATGTGGTGAGTCTCTTACTACTCTATCGATACTTGGAAAGTGCTCAGATGAACTACATTCCTTGGTTCCACCAAATGTAACCTTCACAACCAGGACCTGCCATGCTACTTTCATAGTAGAAAACCACCCACATTCCCTTCATTTTCCATCAGTAAGAAGTAAATTCTACTCAAACACCATCTTATATATATATATATATATATATTATTCATAAAACAAGAAACAATATTCATTTAGTATAGCCATGGAACTCAGTGTTGGAGATAGTTTCAATTCATTTGCTAAACTAGAAAAAAAACTGAAAAGTTACCAATCCACTAACTTTGTGCAGTTGTATAAAAAAGACAACAGAACAATTGCTGCAACTTAGTACTACGAGTGATGCTACACCTGTGTGCATAGTGGCAGAAGACACATAAGTAAATCCCAAGGACAGTAACCAAATCAATCTATGTTCAATGTTGACTACATACACTAGCTGAAACTGTGTTCCAGGAAAGATGGACAGAGCTTATAAATATGGTGGAGAATGAATAAATCATTTTAACTTGTGTTTGAACAGAGATTTTAAATTGTCTTAACAATTGATAGTGAAAATAAACAAACTTCTCTATTAAATCTGTGTGTTGTTATTTTTAACATTACCTGCCTTCATAATTATAAAAATATTTACTGGCAAAATAGCCTGGGGGTCTGTTTTACCATGACCAGTAAAATATGCTTAAAAACATGTTTGTCTATTTTACTAGAACAGATAAAATAGCCCCTTCTTATAATCTGAACATTTTGTCAAGATGAGCAATAGTTGAATCTAACCAGATCAGTGGTAATTTGAAAAGAGAATTAGAAGTGACGGTAATGTTTCAGTTTAGTTATATTCAAGGTTCCTGCCACTAGAGTTGGTTCAAAATTCTTCTCAACAGATTTCCTTGGTGGACAATTAAATAATTTTGGGGTCCTTGAATTGTGGCACTTGATTCTTGAACATTGTTTACCCAAGAAAACTCTGTAACAAGTTTTTAAAGTGGTATTTCCGGCTGCTATTCGCACTCACCTCATGAGGAGAGTCCAAGAAAAGGAAAAGAGAAGCAGAGAGAAAGAAAGGGTAGAAGAGAGATATTAAAAGAGTAAGAGAGAGGGGAAGGGGTGGAAAGAGATTCTTAAAGAGGAATGACATGCATACTGTGTGAAGGAGAATCAGTGGGGAGGGGGAGAAAGAACACAAAAGCAAAGATAGAGGGAAGGGGGAGGGAAAAAGAGATGTGAGTGTAAGAAGGAGATTGTTAGAAAGTGAACAGAAGTGTGAGAGAGATGCTTAGAGAATGAGAGAGAAGGTGGGAATAACAAGCATAATGTAGGGGAGGGAGTCTGGGAGAAAAACAGAGACACACAAAGAGAGGGTAGGTATTTATTTTATGGTGGATGAAGCCTGGGAAAATAGGAAAGTTAGACAGTATTAGAAGAAATACAAACAATTAGAGGAAGAGTGTGTAAGAGATACATAGAGAGAGTGGGAAAGATTAAGTGTAAGCAGGAGAATGGGAGAGATGCTTAAAAAGTGCGAGGAAGTGTGAGAGGAAAAGTGCATAATCTATGAAGGAGAATCTGAGTGAAAAGGACAAAAAAACAAAAACAAAGAGAGAGTGAGACAAACAGTGAGGGTGATTTCTTAGAGTGAGAATGAACAGAGAAACAAAGAAAGAATATTTCTGGACACTGAATGGAAATAGAAAAATTTAGCTTGAGTAAAATCTAGACAAAAAGACATAAATAGGGAGCATGATATGGTAATGGGTATATTAGATGTTTCCTTATAAGGAAACATTTGGCATTCATTGAATGAGCAGCCAGTGTTACATGAATTATGCTTTTCTTCACTTCATGGCCATTAGGATGAGATCAAAGTGTCATATCTGTTCGCCTTATCTCTAATGGTAAAAATAGCCGTTTCCTCATGATGAAACATTTGGCATTCATTGACTGAGCAGCCAGTGTTATGTGAGTTATGCTTATCTTCCCACCATAGCCATGGGATCAAAGTGTAGTATCTGCCTCAGGCAGATGAACTTTTTGGAGCTACCCCAAGTGAACATGCTTGGACTCATCTTATAAAAAGGACCATGTGTCTCATCTTGCCAGTGTGGGACATCAAGTAAATAATAAGTATAGTATCTGTTTCAGTCATCTCTAATGGTAATGCTAATGGTAACATTAACTGTTTCCTTATAAGAAAACATTTGACATTCATTGACAATGCAACCACTGCTACTCAAGTTATGCTTCCCTTCACTCCCTGGCCATCAGGATGGGATCAAAATGTAGTATCTGCTCTCTTCATCTCTAATGGTAACATTAGCCATTTCCTTATAAGGAAACATTTGGCATTCTTTGAGTAGCCAGTGCTACTTTTGATTGAAATTTATAAAATCTTTCTCTTAAAACAATGAGAAATGATGGCAGGTGGAGGGATGAAAAGTTCTTGGCCCAACCAAAATATCCTTACCACAAAATTCTGATGTTTGGTAATTTTTTGAAGTGGTCAGACCAAAAAACTTTTCAGCATCCCCTTGTAGATATGCATATAGAGATTAGAAGTATGGCTGAGAGATGTTTAGAGAGAGATTTAAAGATTAAGGTAAAATAAGAGAAAGATACTTAGACAGGGAGAGGGAGATCAGAAGAGTGATATTTAGAAAGTGAGAGGGAAGATAGCAAAGAGATGCTTAGAGAGTGAGAAAGATGCTTAGAAAATGAGAGAGAGGGTGGGAAGGAAATGTTTAGAGATTTGAGAAATGTTCAGAGGGATATGCATCTTGTATGAGAGAGGCTCATGGGCAGAAGAAATAAAACCTTATTTTTCTCAAGCCTACTTTCAGGTAAAATATTTTTTAAAAATCCCAGAGTTTTTGATTTTCAGCAGCAGAGATATGACTGTCTCCAAGTTGAAGAATCAAATATATGATATTCAACCTTGCAAGGAAGTTCCCAACTAGCATCTAGTTGGCAAAGAAAAAGAAAGCAGACTGTAACTCAATATAGACCCCGTACTCAAGCATTCATAGTGTAATAATGAATATTTATTGATTACAGTATCCACACCGAAGTCAACAGCCAATCAAAACCTAGAGAATAGACTTGCCTAAGTAGCAGAATGGAACATCCCAGACTGTTATATAAACCACTCACCAACTGGCCCAGACAAGCTCAACTTCCAATACAGTTGAGTACTGTCTGGTTGTTCAACTAAATTTTACACAAATCATTCAAACACAAGAGAAGAACTGGCTACATAGCTTTTCCTTCCTCCCAGTGAATACTGAAAGAAAAATGTCAGTGACTTCAAATGAATTATCTCTAACAACATCAAGGATGGTCAGTAAATCTTTGCTGAGGATCAAAGTCTTTTTTTTTAACAACAGCTTTGACTGTGGATCAGCTACTCAAAAATCTTTTCTTAATCACAGTTTTTCACTGTGAAACAACTACTAAAACTTTCTAAAGCACATATTTTACTGTGGACCAACTACCCAAAGTGTTTAACTCAACTAAAGACAATTTTTACCCATTTTTGACTGTTTTGAATTCATGCATATATGTTTGTAAATCCAAATGATTTATTTAACAGGCATAAGACCATATTTTCTTTATTTTTATTTTATTTTCGTTTGTAATTCGGATGTTTGGCTTTTTAATATTAAAGACGTGGATGACCGAATTTCTTACAAAGGAATGAAGATACAGAGACAGAACAAGATAATCCGATGGATTTAAAAAAAAATGGATTCTGGAAGGTTACTATGGCAGCCATAATATTGTGACAGAAAAAAAAGACAAGAAAAATGGCTTGAGTCAATGAACAAGGACATAAACCAAACCTTGCTAGATTTGCATTCAGTGTATTATACAGGACAGACCAGAAATCATCCCCATATTTCTTCTTATTCACTAACCTAGATAGAGAGGTTTAGATAGATAAATAGATTTGAGGAGAGAGAGAGAGTAGTAGGAGGGGATGAGTAGCATAACTTAGATATGAATAGGTTTAGACAGACAATAAGTTTGGATAGATAGATAGATAGATAGATAGATAGATAGATAGATAGATGAGGAGAGAATGGATGGGCTAATACAGACAGATATGAGCAGATTAGATATTCAATGGTTTGGATAGATAGCACCCCCACCTGCAAACATTTCTCCAGTAACCCTAATGGACATGCCTCGCTTCTTGATCTCTTCTTTACCTCTATCCCTGATACATGTTACACTTTGTAGCCCTACCCTCTTGGAAACACTGGTCATGCTGTAGTATCTGTAAAAATCCTACCAACAAAACATCTTTCTGTTATCAAGTTGATTGGGACTCATTCCATGTATTCCTTCATGACGTCCCTTGGAATGAAGTCTTTAATCATCCTGTTCAAAGACACACCTCTGAGGTACCCTCATGGGTGAAAGCTGGTATTGTAGCTTTCATTCCAGCATGGAAATACTAAGTGAAATCGCATTCATCTCCTTGGTTCTTTCCTGCATGCTCAGCTGCTATAGCCCACAAGAATCACTTCTTCCGACTGTACCAGAATGACATGTCTGATTGCAACAGACGTCTCTTTGTCTCTGGTTGCAATGAGTGCAAGCATGTTCTCAAAGAATCAAAATTAATGTTTGAATGAAACAACACATAGCATCTCACAAGTTCAGTTCGGTTCTAGAGATTATTGGTGGCTCTGCAAGAGTGTGCTGAATGACAGCAAACCCTTAATGCTTCCCCTATTCAATCAATTTGAAGTCCTGACATCTACAGCAGATAACATTGAATGATTTGCTTGAAAATTCTCTTCCAACTTAGCACTTGACTCATTTGGAGGACCCATACCTGATTCCCACCCACACACACCCTAGAATAGTTTGGTTGGGTTTATTTTGTTTAATGGCATATCAACCTCAATGGGTTATTTAATGCTGACGACATTTTTAAGATAGATTCATATGAATAGAATATGTATTCTTTGGTTTAGATTGGTTTGCTTTATTTTGTTAACAGCATATCGACCTCAATGGGTTATTTAATGCTGACAACATTTTTAGGATAGATTTGTATGAATAGAATATGTATTCTTTTGTTTAGATTGGTTTGGTCTATTTTGTTTTACGGCATATCAACCTCAATGGGTTATTTAATGCCAACAACATTTTTAAGATAGATTCATATGAATAGAATATGTATTCATTGGTTTAGATTGGTTTGGTTTATTTTGTTTTATGGCATATCAACCTCAATGGGTTATTTAATGCTGACAACATTTTTAGAATAGATTCATATGAATAGAGTATGTATTCTTTGGTTTAGATTGGTTTGGTTTATCTTGTTCAATGGCACATCAACCTCAATGGGCTATCCAATGCTGACAACACTTCTAGGACAGATCCGCATGAGCAGGATATGTACTCCTTGGTCCAGACTTGGCCCGGTTTACCTTGCTCTACGGCACATCAACCCCAATGGGCCACTCAATGCTGACAAAAAACCCTATTGCTGGTAACACCCTGCTCTGCCAAAAATCAGCCTCAGGCAACATACCTCCCTCAAAACTGCACTGCTGGCAATAACTTCCCTCAAAAAAACATTGCTGGCAACAGCCAACCATCCACCCACAGCCGGGACCCCAACAGGTGCCACCACCCCAGGCCAGGGAACACCAGCAATCAAGAGGCAGCTCCACGCTCTCCAAAACCTCCCGATCAGAGGCCTTGGATGCAGTTAAACATCCTACCCAGGACACAGATGCAGTTTAACATCTTACCCAGGATGCAGATGTAGTTTAACATCTTACCCAGGATATCCCTAGAATGGATGCTGTATTGAGTGATATGATTTCAGACATCATTTACAAACTAGGCTACCACAAGGCAAGTGAAGGTGATAGGATACCAGCCATCATCCTAAAGAAATGTTCTCCTGAACTGGCTGCAGTTCTCTCCAGACTACAACAATTAACTCATTGCTTCCTGGTTTCCAGTTTGTTGGAAGTCCACCTCTGCAGTTCCTGTTTTTAAGAACCCTGAAGAACCTTGTGAACCCTCTAACTATTGCCCTATTACTTTCTTCCCTTTTTTTAGCAAAGCCCTCAAGGCTCTAATCAATGTTGAACTGGTTAAGCATTTTACTTTTCACAACCTACTCTCAGATAAACAATACGCCTTCTGTTTCACCAGCTCTACCACTGATGACTTAACAGCCATCACTGAATATGTAAATCAAGCAATTGATAATAATGGCAAAGCTTGTACTGTGGCTCTTGATATCTCAAAGGCATTTGACAGGGTTTGGTATGCTGACCTTCTACGTAAGCTCCAGGGATACGGTATTACAGGATGACTATTTGATTTAATCTAATCATTCCTATCAAATTGTGAAATGAAGGTCATTTTAAACAGGCTCGCTTCCAGATCCTTTTACACAAATGCTGGTGTCCCCCAAGGCTGTATCCTGGGTGCTGCCTACACTGTCTCTGATCTGCATCAATGATGTACCTGATGTCATTAGTCCCCAACTTGATATTTATGCAGATGACACTACCATTTCTTCCTGTCTCAATAGCAAATCCATCTGACAAAGTAATCCTGGCTCTTGAAAAGGGCCTCCAATCAGTGGTTAACTGGGACAGGAAATGGCTTGTAAATTTGAAAGCCTCCAAAACAAAATTGCTCTCATTTAATCACCACAGAGAATTTTTTCTGCCTGCCATCAGCATGGCTAATGCTAGCTTTCTGGAGAGCAACACACAGGCACCTTCTTGGCTTTACGTTTACAACTGACTTGTAGTAGAGCAACTACATTGAATCAATAGCTGTATCTACTGCAAGGAAAATTGTGCCAGAAAATTTTTCTTGTCAGAGTTCATTTTACACATTTACAAATCTACCATTCACCCATGCATTGAATACTGCTGCCATATCTGGTCTGGTGCCTCTGCTATTCATCTCAAGGTTCTTGACAAAACACAAAGAAGAATCCTGACTTGGCATCTCAACTTCAGTCACTTTCTCACCAAAGGGATTTGTCTTCCCTCTGTCATTTTTACAAATATTTCCATGACAACTTCTCTCATAAGTTTTTTTTACCTGATGCCCTGAATTTAAGCATGCTACTAGATAGGCATCTAGATCCCACCCTTTTAATGTTGCATAATCACGATCTTCTGTCTTGGATCACGTCAATCCCCACCCTATACCCAGTCTTTTCTCTCACTTTCATTCTCTGTAACCCCCTGTGTATAAGCGGCATTCACGCCTTGTTTGGGGTGAAATTATTAAAAAATTAAAAGATAGATAGGTGGGAAGAGAATGGATAGTAGGCTAATATAAACAGATATGAATAGATTAGATAGTCAATAGGAATAGATAGATAGATATGAACAGACTGAAACATATATATATATACCAAAACAGATAGATAGATAGATAGCAGATGGGGGAGAATGGATGAGCCAATATAGATAGATATGAATAGATTAGAAAGTTAACTATCTGGATAGATAGATATGAAAATACTGACGATAGATAGATATGAAGAGACTGCTGATAGATAGATAGATAGATAGATAGATAGATAGATAGATAGATAGATAGATATGATCAGACTGATGATAGATAGATATGAACAGGGATAGAGAGTGAGAGGAGACAGCCTTTATTCTTAAAGCCATTAAATTAACTAGAAATAATGTGGAGGAAGAGTAAAAATGAAAAGTCACATTCAATAATGGTGGACTTCCACAGGCAGACACTGGAGAACATAAATTATGTCCTCTCGTGTTATATAAACAGCTGAGTGGTTAGAGGCTGATTGTATTTTGGTATTTGTGTCTCATTGGTACAAGAATATAATAATTCAGAATTTCAAGAATATAATAATTCAGAATTACTACTATCATTGTCATTGTGTTTAATGTATGGATGAAAAATAAGAATCCATTAATTCTTTCAAAATTACATTGTTTCCATTTCAGACCTGAAAATTAACGAAGTCAGCAAATACAGACGTTCAAGCAGATATGTGCTTTTGAGAAAATCTGAATGGGAGGATATGCATTTCATCATAAAGGTATTAGATCTTGTTGCTCCTTGGGGTCAAACTGTCTAAAGCAAGCTATATTAGATGATGGTTTCCCCTGAAAAGGGAAACATATGTTTGAATGATGACAGAAAGCACATATTCTTTATTAAGACTCACAAATGCACAGGCTGGTAGATGTAATTCACCCAGTTGGCAAAAAACATGGTGTCTACTTGAACATGAGTATCCCCTAAAAATAAGACCTAGAGTAATAAGAAATGAAAATATCTATTGTAATACGGTCCATCAATTGTGGATATTTTTAATAAGGAATTGGAATCATGAAACTAACCTAATTTGTTGGCAAATAGACATTTTGCATTAACTTCACTAAATGTTGTTTCTCTTAAAGTGAGATTTTTTTCTTAACAATGATGTTACATAAGGCAAAAATGTTATCTTCTTTTAAGTAAAGAGAAAAAAAAGATGGCCTTGCTTTCTTGGCGGATCTTATGACATATCAACCCTTGTTGGGGTTATATAATGTCAAGATCTGATTTTGAATTACACTTGAGTGTAAAGGTAAAAGTTAGTCAACATTATAGTTAAGTACATAAGTAAACCCTGTTCAGGTTTATACTTGAGTCTGTTGGCAAACATTGGTCTGGTTTTTACTTGAGTCTATCGGTATACTGAGTATAGAGGTAAATATTAGTTGGCTATATAACAGAATCTATGGGAAAACTTTGGTCGGTGTTTTATTTGAGTCTATAAATAAGCATTCACCAAAGAAAACAGAGCAATTTTCTTTGATGTACTGAAGTCAATTAATATGTCCATCAGATGTTGGTACAATAGATAAAGGGGCGAAATCAAAAGCTTCCTGAAGACTTGTTATATCTTTCCTAGCCAATTAAAGAAGAGAAGAAAAGAATCTGAAGACAATTCTATTACAAAGTGAAAAGACAAAAAAAGAGAATCTTGATATGCCGCTAAACAAAATCAACCAACAAACTTCATCTGATAAAAAGTGAAGATGAAAGTAAATCCTAATCACAAATGAATAATATTTAGCCATTTTGGATGTGCAAGTAGTGTAACTGTAATCTGTGGAATGTGAAATCAGCAAACTGATTTAAATAGGAGGGTAAACTGTCATCTCTAGCCTTAGTTGGTAATCACTCTAGGGGAAGTATTACATTAAATTCAAAACTGAAGAGAAGGCAATGGGAAACCACTTCACTATCTTTCCAAAGAAATCATGACAATTTATAGATAATAAGAAAATGCATTTGTGAAGCGCCATGATCCCCTATGCCATTAGGGCAGTGTAGAAGTCAAGTGACTTACCTGCTAACATGGCTGCCTTCTGAAAACGCAAGCCAGCTAATTTTACCTCATTTTATAGGAGAGTACCTAATGTAGCAGTTGGGTTGGTCCATTTTGCTGGAATGGACCTGCCCAACACATTTGCATAAGTGGTCTCTATTCACCCATATATCTCTCCATTAAATGACTCAGAATTAGTTTTAACTTGGTGGCTACACTAGTCTACTTGTGTGCCAGACCACTTGCAAGCTAACCAATATTCTTCAGGCAGAAAGTTTACACTGAATTCAAAAAAGGCAATGTTAACCAAAACTAACTTTCCCAAGAAGTCATGGTAATACATAGATAACAAAGAAAAGGAATCTGTAGAGAGCCACGATCGCCTGCATTCTGGAAGGAGAAAGGCAACTTTGAATTCAAAACAGTGGAGAAGGCAATGGGAAAACACTGCACTATCTTTCCAAAGAAGTCATGGCAATTCATAGATAATAAATAAAAGGAATGTGTGGAGAGACATGGTTGCCAAAGGTGGTGATGGTAGAGCTAAGTTGGACATTAGCATAAAGTCCTCTGCTGGAATTTGAACTCACTCTGTCAATTTCATTTTTCAGGCAGATTACATACACCACCTATGCATCTAGACTGACCTACCCTTGTCCAAAAGCCAACCAGTGTCTCAGAATTCTCCCCAAACCTTCTTCTCCAGTTTAACAAGAGTTTCCTGTGATTTTATCTTAAAGAGCAAACACTTAAAGACATAACCACTGCTCAGCTCAAGTTTTCTTATCTGATCTCACAAGAAATTTACAGACTTGTTTTTAGCGGAAAATGGGGCAGGAATTCTAGAGAGCTAGAATGATCATTTTATTTTATTCTTCTTTAATAAATGTTTATGTGATACAAGGCCCAAGAGCCTCTCTGAGCAGAGCGTTACAGTTACTGCACAAGGTTATTGCACTGACATAAGAGGACGAAGTAAGTGCAGATTATGAGGATAGTTAGGATAGATAACAGGTGACCCTAGACTTGAGAAGCTTAAAATAGTAGGGACTAGAAAAGCATCCTCTCAGGAGTCTGTTGCACAAAGTAGCACTACTTGTTTAGCAATATGATTTTTCACAGTTACTTAGGAAATGAATAGATAGCTTCTTTTTCCTTTGAAGTCAATTTAATCACCAAAGTTTCTGAGGAATATTTTTTCCAGCCCATCTTTGAATAAATTTAATGACTAGGATTTTTCAAAAATCCTCTCTCCAGCTCATGTTAGAATTGCCAAACATAAAATTTTCTTAGTGTTCTTCGATAGCAATAAATATAAGGTCTTTTAAAAAACTGACCAACCAAAACCTGTCTGGGTGGTTCCACTTTCCGGTTGATGGAACACAAATGGGTAGTGGGTCTGCTAGCCAGTATCCATATAATGAGTCGTCAGTGAAAGGACCAGCAATCAGTGAAGTTGCCAGGAGTGAGTGAAACAATCAGCAGTGAGTGTGTAGGGGTCTGTTTTCTGTCATTGGAACTAAATGGGAAATTATTTTTTTTTTTTGTTGCTTCTTGACCAAACAAGTGTCTTGAAAAACATTTGTCAATATTGTTGATGGTATTCACGGCCCTAATATTGTGACTAATCTGTGTAACATAGTAAGTGTTGGTGTAGTCACATACAGCTGACTTTAGCTGTCATCACAGCTTATGCAGTGACGTGCAGAAAGGCATCATTACACTTTGGAAGAAGCTGGAACTTCCTTTTTACCAATGACATTGCAGGTCTTAGCTGTGAAGGTCCGAACTAGTGGAACTAAGGAATGTAGCATGTCTGTACATTCACCATGCAAATAACAATATCTAAATAACACAAACAACTATGAAACCAACGCCCATTTGCTCTTTCGTCTACCGAAGAGTCTCAAATAAGGATGAGTGTTTGGGTCGGTGTGAGCTAGAATGAGAATGGATGATATTTTAATAATAGTTTTAACTTGTCTGATATTCTGAATACAAGAGACATAAGGGAAGGCAACAGGCTACCTACCTGATGCCGTAGTGTGAATGGATGGTGGAACAGGGGTGCAAGAGGCTTGGCAAAAGAACCATTGCTAAGAACCATAAGGGATGGGAAGTTTTTTTTTTTCCTGAATATGCAAGTCATGCTCAGGAGCAAAATCCTTTGTATCTTAGACAGGGGGAGTTTCCAGGGATTTTCTTAATCCCAAGGCAATTCAAGGATCACTTTGGTTTATCCGGATTATTTTTAATCTTCCTTATGCTATTATCACTGGAATAATCATTGCATTTAAATGCTGCCACCTTTTATTTCATCATCATTACAAATTCTCTCTTGCAATTTATTATTATAACAACAACAATAGTCGATAGAAACAACAACTGTAAGGAACATTTACTATAAACAATAATGCATATTTATAATAGAATACTTTAGTTGCAAGTTTTTGCTTCTAAAGTGCTAACAGGTTAGTTGCGATGATCATTGTAAAAGTTTGTGCCTAATTTTCATTGTTAATATAAAATGACTGCATCTTAATATGGTTGTTTGTTTTGCTACAGACTTTGTTGAATGTTGACATTTTATCTACAAATGAATGCCTTAAAGATGGAGGATGAAAAGTTACACCATTTTTTTAATTGATATCACATGATGCACTTCAGTAAAGCCACTAAGACACAAGAGGTTACAGGGTGGAGAAGAATTAGGAACAAAAACATTAATAATGAGCGGGAGAGTAATCAGGAAGACAGTAGATAGCTATTGACATTACATTTAAGTTTTGGCAAATTAAAGTTGGCTGAAAAGCTTGGAGCTGGAAGGGAGTTCCACAAGTGAGAAGTGCAAGAAAAGAAACTCTTAGCATAGAATTCATAAATTTAGCCAGCACAACTGTAAATTGATGAGACCTCATTGCCAGTCTAGTACTGCACTTAAATTCATAAAGTCTAGTTACCATAGCAAAAAGCTCTTCCAAACAATTACCATGAAATTATTTATAGAAAAGACACAGAGAAGCAACCTTATGGTGATTGAAAAGTGACTAAAGATAAGCTGCCAGATCAGGACCAATAATATTACTGATTCTTTGGATTTTATCAAGGAGCTCAGGTAAATATTATGCTCTATGAATTTCAGGAAGATGTAAGCATTAGAACTGTGACAAAAAACATTTAAAAGCTTTATTTGGATCATGCTCCAGCCCTTCGGATGGTCCAAAACTGGTTCGGTAGATTTTGTCAGAGTGATTTTAACATAAATGATCAACTGCACTCCAGGTAAACTTTTGACATCAATAAAGAAACTCTGCTTGCGATCATGGAGAATAAACCAAAGATTTTGATAAAAGATTGCTAAGAGCTCGAAAATCGATATTTCAACTGACTTTTGCCATTTGAAGAGACTTGCGATAATTTCCAAACTCAACATGTGACAGTCACATTCTTTGACAGAACAGAATAAACTTGTGTTTCTGTAATGATTTCTTTGTTGTTACACTAAAAAAAGGAGCCATTCTTGGACAGAATTGTAACAGGCAATGAAAATGGACCATTTATGATGATGACGTCTGATGCAAATGGAGCTGGAAAGAAGCTTGTGGTGTATATGTGCAGAACTCATGGTTAAAGCAGACTTTACATTCAATGAAGGCATTGCTGTCCATTTGGTGCGATTGTAGAAGGATAATTTACTTTGAGTTTCTTCCAAACAGTGAAACAATAACTGCAAAGAGATATTGCAATCCCATCATCAATCTTAATGTTGCTATTCAAGAAAATTGTCCGATTTTGGCAAATAGAGAGGATGTCATTTCCCACTATGATAACACAAGTCTGCATATTGCAGAAACAAACCTCCTCAAGAACTCACTATATTCTTTGAATTTTCATTTGTTCTAGTCTCTACAGAATAATTTGAATGACAAAAAATTTGACTTTTTACAGTTAAAAACCTTTTACAACATTCTTACAGCTAAAAACACAAAGTTTTTATGAAATTGGCATCAACAAACTTGTTGAACGATGGGAGAGTCATTTAAAACAATGTAGCCAATGTACTTGACTAATAAATTTTTTTTTTCTGAGTATGTAAAATTTTGTTCTTAATTTTCTAATTGGGCACTAATTTTTTGTAATGAACTAATATATTGGCGGGGAAAAGTTAAAAATTTTTACAGAGTTTTCAAAATTATGAATTCTATAAATGTCTTGCAATGAAAGACAATTCATAATTTTGCTTTTATGTCATGTTTCTTCAGGATATAGGTGATTATACTGCACCACAGAATGTCTCATTTTTTTTCATGATCTGTCAACTGCTAAGACCTCTGTAGAAAAAATAGTCAAAAGGATTTCCACTGCCTTCTCCAAGATTTTGAATTCAGAGTAGCCTTTCTTCTACAATCCAGATTAATATGACATATGTACTAGAGTCAAAAAAAGGTAGACATTGTTCTGATTTGCATCAGTGTCAAAAAAGGTAGATATAACTCCACTCTGTCAAAAAGGTAAACATAGGTCCAGATTGCACTGTACTCAGAAAGGTAGACATAAGCCTGGATTGTGCTTTATTCAGAAAGGTGGATATAGGCCTCATTTGCCATAGTGTCAAAAAGGCAGACATAGGCCCAGATTTCACTGTACTCAGAAAAGTAGACATAAGCCTGGATTGTGCTTTATTCAGAAAGGTGGACATAGGCCTCATTTGCCATAGTGTCAAAAAGGCAGACATAGGCCTGCTTTGCAGTATACCCAAAAAGGTAAATCTAGGCTCAGATTGCACTGTATTAAGAAAGGTAGACATTTTTTTTAGTCAATTCACCCCAAGAAAGGCAGTAATGCCAGTACGACACAAGGGCCTACTAGAAGTGAAAGAGAAGGAAATATTTTAGAAGGAACTGGAAACCCAATAAACAGGAAATGAGATAAACTTCTACTAAGACTAGGGGGAGGTGTGAAATGGATGATAGGTGATAAAAAAAATTTCAGAATTTAGACAGTGTCAAAGTAGAATTTAGAAGGAATCAGAAACCTAATCCTAAGCAGGAAACAAGGGATAAACCACTAATCCTGTTCAAAAGACAAGGGAGGAGTGTGAAACAGATGATAGGTGAACCTATAGGCCTGAATTGTACTATATTTAAAAAGGTAGACACAAGCCTTGTTTGCACTAGTGTCAAAAAGATCTAGATTTCAAAAAAGTAGACATATGACTGGTACAGTCAGAAAGGAAGATTTATAAAAAAAAAAGTAAAAGTAAAAAAAACAATGTCCCCGTTTATACTTGGTGGAGGGTATCTTGTTTGTAAGAGATGTGGTCGGCATATTCTAAGCTCTGCGGACAGGAAAAGCCATCTTTAGGCAGATAAAAGGTATGAGCTCTATAGCTGTCTGATATCTTCAATAAAAGTAAATAAAAATGAGTAGATTTAATTAATTAATTAATTAACAGAATCAAGAATTAGTGTTATTAGATTAGTCTGTCTGGAGAAATCTTTTGTAAAGGATAAAGAACATCTACTTTTAAGAAAAAGCAAATTCATCAGAAAATCGGGTAGGGATATTAGTCATTACCTGTTTAGGTATTTCAAAGGTGCATCATCCATTTCTCCACCTTGTACTAATGGAATCACTCTGAAAGAGAAATATTTATAAATAAGATTTCTGGAACATTGATATCTCCATGTGTCACACCTGATAATATATATATAAGTTTTGTTAAAGATGACAGACAAGGTACTGCGATTAAGCTTTTTATTTAATTTTTTTCTTACATTCATATAAATATTCTAGAACGGAGAAAATGTTTTTTTTTTTTGTTTTTTTTTTTTTGCAGGGAGTGGGTGTCGCTATTTGTCCATAGCTGGGACCTTAATAGATGCTATTATCCCAGGTGATGATGAACCTGGGAACAACAGCAATTAAGAGGTGCTTCCACTTTCTTCAAAACCGCCAATCTCCCAATGACAGGCCTTGCTGCCAGATGTAGTTTATCATCATCACCAGGAATACAATGGATCTTAGTGACTTCAGTACATAATTTTTTTCTTTCCTTATTAACGGAAGAATAATTTTTCTCTTATATGCCATATCCCTTCAGGAGGGGGGTGATCATGGCTTTGCACAATTTCCTGTCCTTTGTAGCACTTAGTAAATTTTGTCTTTTTGTAGATCTTTTCTAATCTCTTTTCAGTCATCCACTAACAAAATTCATTAGGTAGCTTACTTGCTGATACACTCTGTTCCTCTTAGCTTCAATTAAGTCTTGTGAGTGCCAATTTTTCCAAGCTATCTAACCTCATTGTGTGTTCTAGAAATTTCAACTATCTCTTTCTGGCACAAAGTACAAGTGTTTTCTGCATTTCCATTCTCTTCAAAATTTCCTCATTGCTCACATTCCTCATTTATGGTATTCTCAGCATCCTTCTGTAGAACCATATCTCTGTTGCCTCAAGTTTCTTCTTCATCCGTGAGGAAATTATCCAGCATTCACTGCCATATAGGAAGATGGATATTACATAGCACTCTTTTATAAACAGGAAAATTTTCATATAAATCAACATTTTCCAGTTTCTTAATACCGTGTTTAGCTTTTGGAAGGCATCTTTCACTATTCCAATGTACCTTCAGATTTTAGTGTCACATTTTCTGTCCTCAGTTAAAACGCTTCCCAGATATTTAAATTTTTAAATGTGCCTAATACTTTAATTTAAAAATTTAATCCTGTCAAAATAAACAAACAAAAAATAATGTAAAATAATGTAAATAATAAATAATATAACACAATGTAAAATAAAGTATTTAAAAGACATTTAGAAACATGTCATGAAACTAACATGAGTTGACAACCAATAGGGAATAATAATAATAATAATAACAATAATAATAATAATAAAATATTGTGTCAGCCCAAAATGCAGATTCTGTGATAAATATCCAGAAACAATTGATCATCTTGTATCAGGTTGCATGGTATTTTCACCCATTGAACATAAAACCCGGCATGACAGAGTGGGCCAATATCTGCACTGGAAAATCTGCAACTTCTACGGGAAGAAAACTGAAAGAAATTGGTATGAACACCACCCAGATCCGGTTACAGATATAGGAACTGTAACAATTTTATGAGACTTCACAATACACACAGACAGAACAAGCAAAGGCAATTGCCCTGACAATGTTATGAGAGACCGCAAACAAAAAAATTGCCTCCTTATTGATATGGCAGTCCCTGCAGACTGCAATGTATCTTTGAAGATCATCAAAAAGCTGTCAAAATATAAGGACCTTGAAATCGAAATCTCAAAAATGTGGCACATGAGGACATCAACAATTTCAGTTGTAGTTGGAGCCCTCAGATTGACTGGAAAATATTCCAATAGACTCATTGAATGGATTCCTGGTAGCCCATGCCTTAAAGAAATACAAAAAAATTGTTCTTATGAGTACAGCCCACACCTTATGAAGGGCTTTATCTACGTAAAATATGTGTTGTTTTGCTTTTATTTTTTTTATTGCTCAGTGGAAAATGTCATGATGCCATTTCTAACCCTAGGTCTCTGGGTGGGACCCGAAAAAAAATGAGTACACACCAGAAATCAAAGGAAATAATAATAATAATAATAATAATATATTTTTTTAATTGCTCTGTGGAAAATTGTCTTAACGCCATTACTGACCTTAGGTCTCTGGTCAGAAGCTTGAAAGAAATGAGTACACATCAGAAACCAAAGTAAATAATAATAATAGTAATGGCTTCTCATCTCCAAATCTATCCATCTGCTAAAGTAATTAGCTAATACCAGTTACTGGACACCTCCTCAGACATATTTGTTTCTTGAATATCCACAAAACCAACCTGTCATTGACATTGCAACTATGCTTGGCAGCAAGGTCAGAGACGAGAACTCAGACTAAGCATGACCTACCCAAAAGATCCCAATGCTGGAAGAAGCAGATTACAACACGTCTCAGATGCTTGAACCAACAGATGAAGAGAGCTACATATGACAGTCAGCGACAGCCCACTGCAGTTTCATGACGAGATTCTGCATCTCTCAATCCATATGTGCCACTGAGGAAGGTCATGAAATGAAGTGCATTGATCACTTCCTGATAAATTGAGGTCCACCTTAAACAAATTCACACCATCGACACTTTCCTCTACTCTGGTTTGTTTTCACCTTCAGCCAACACTTGCAAAGCCAAACAGTGATAGGGAATGGATGACAGGAGCATGTTTTAGTGAAACTGGGAGCTTCTATTCCTGAACCCGCACATTGGCAGTGAATTTAATCATCAATGCCATAATCATAAAGGAAGTGACCAGCAAAGAAGAAATTAAATTCTTGGATATGAGTTAAAGTTGATGACGATGATTATGCTGAGTGGCCCTAGATACAGTTTTTGAAAAAGAGCCCAAAATCTGATGTAATCAGTAGTTGAACAAGACCAATGTGCTTCTGAAACATCAGTCGTGATGACTTGTGACTTAATGCCAGCAAAAACATCTTCTAAATAATTCCATCTTCCCAATTTCACTAACAAGGAATGGGTTAACTAGTGGTATGAATTCCAACCACTGCCCAACAATGTTACATGCTGGTATCATCTCCCAAATCTAATATAATCAAGATATCACCTCCTTGATAAATCAGCCATAGAGAGATTTGAACCTGAACCTCACGGTCAGAATGCTAACATTCTAACACAATGGCCTTGAATCCATTCCAGGAAAGAACAGCAAATTTCAAAGTCAATACAGAAATAATCTGAGCCTGATCTGCTATCTGGAACTAACTACATATCCTGAATATGGAAAAACACTGGAGAATCTGAACAAATCAGTACATATCCTGAACTATGAGTTTCTGCACAGTAGACCTAGTGTAGATATAAATAACACAGAGGAGCCATTAATAAAAAAAGGGAAATTACAGTGGAGGGAGCCTAGCTTGTCAGCAAAGAATGAGTAACAGAAGACAGAGAACCAGTGGAAAAGGAAGTCAAGCAGAACAGCAAGGCAGCAGAGGAGGAGGATTCCAAGTTATAGCATCAGGATTGTCCCAAGCCTAGAGAATTAAAGCACTGGTTCCTGAATAATTTGGCAAAGTAAACATTTAGTAGCACATTAATTGCCAGTTCACTTCAGATCAGTTCAATTTAGATTCAATCTTATTTGAAACAAGAATAAGGATAATTTAGCAGTATCAAAAAAAAAAACAGATATGCGAGAAAAATGTAGCTCATGATAGATTAAATAAAGGGTTCAGTTCAAAATTCCCTGAAGGTTACCTGGATCGACAGACATCTCATGAAAGCTAAAGGGTACAGCAGTTAAAATGTTGTGATAACAAAAACAGAACAAACAAAAATTATACTAGACAGAGAAGGTTGTGAGGATCTCCTTAGAAGGTCTCGGCCCGGTGGCTAGGATCAAAGTGTAGTATCTGTGCTTTGTGAGCTGCCGAGCCGGGTGTCTGTCGAACTCTCTGCTTGCAGAGAGGAACCCGGACGAGGCTCCGCCAAAGGGTGGGGTTTTCGCCGGGGAGGTTGATTTGAACTAGCCCGCCAACACGGGTTTAGATGGATTTTATTTTGGCTGGGCCCTACGGGCTCGGACATACCCACGTTATAAAGGCCTTGTGCCGCATTCAATTCCTGTGGGTGAATTGATAAATACCATCTCCTTAGAAGGTCTTGCATAGAAATAAATATGATATAGGAGCTGTTAATAAAGCAGGTGAGAGAAATGACAGCAAGGCTTTAACAGCAGCAGTAACAGAAAAGAGAAGCTAGTGTGAATGTAGTCAAGTGTGATCCTAGCAGGAAGATTAGTTTTAAGATTCCAAATTCTTCACTTCGGATTGTCCTACAAGAAAATAGTGGATTAAAGCATCGGTTCATGAATTTGGTGCTATTTTAATTGTGAGTTCAATCCCTGGGATGGTCAGTGCAGACTTAAACTCAGTGGAAATGGGGTGAGCAATAACTAAATAAGAGATGGATAAAGGAACAAGAACTTTCTACCTCCACCTTTATTGGACTCAGTTTGAAATTATTTGAAGGTTATCCAATATCTCAAATGTAAATAATTTAAATAGCAACAACAAAGATGAGAAGTTTAGTCCAACTTTAAAATAATGTAAATAACTGTTAACTCCTTATCCCAGAAATTCAGACAGGGAATCATAGTGAGAACAACACTGACCTTCGTTCAGCTCTGCGGCAAATTGATCTGGCCATATGAAGAGAAGAGGAAGCTTTTCCACCAGACTGCAAACAAAAGGAAAAAATAGGCTTCTTGAAATGCTATTGATATCAAAGTTAAAAACACACACACACACACACACACATATATATATATATATATATATATATATATATATATATATATATATATATAAAAAAAGAAAGACAAAAACTGTTGGTGGAACCAACAAACAACTTGCCAAAAAAGATGTAAACAATCTTAAACAAGATAAAATCTCGAACAAGAACATCAATAAGAAAAAAAAACTAAAGACAAACACCTAACTACTCAGGAAAGTGCTCATCCCCTAGATTATCTAGCAAAAATGCTTGACAGTGTTAATTCCTATGAAAAGATGGCCCTAGTCAGAACCTGAGTTTCATGTTCACATGATCTTCAGACAGCTTGAAGGCAAATGAAAGAAGTGCGGAACTCTTTTATATAACACATGACCAGAAATTATATATATATATATATATATATATATATATATATATATATATATATCTATATATATATATATATATATATATATATATATATATATATATATTCTGTTTATATGTGATTTTTATGGATACAACTTATTTAAGTAAATGCTCTGTTTTAATTAAACAGTATTAATTACATTTACCAACTTGGATGTTTGAGAAATTTCACAGAAAATATAAGTCCTCTGACAGGTATCAAACCTGTATCCCATATAGAAACCATCATTTAGCCTGACATGCTGTTAACTGACTCACCCACAGAGGACTAGTAAAGCTACTGTTTATAAACACACATTCGATGATCTTTCTTGATAATTCATTTCTGTTAACAAGTAGGTTGTATCCATAAATATAATGTATAAACAGAAATATATTAAAATATTTATCAGATTTAAACCATTACATTATATATATATATATATATATATATATATATATATATATATATATATATATATATATATATATTCATACATACACACATGGTGTCCATAAAGTTCATGTGCACTTAAATAATTTATAATTTTAAAGTGCACACTAACTTTGGACACCCTGTATATATATATATATATATATATATATATATATATATATATATAGTTTCTGCAAATTTAGGTAATCCGTATGGGTAGACCTGAGGAGGATGATATCCAGAGAGCTCAATGTAAAATTCAGAGCAGATATATTTGAATAAAAAACAGACCACGTTAAGATTCCATGTAATAAGCTATTTCACCATAACCCCTTTTACAGGGTTCTGGATCATCAGACTTTACTTCCAAAAGCTGAAATGAAAAATGAAAAGAAATTCACACATTTTTTACGAACCTCATCAAGTATACGCAAAGTTAACGAAGTGAGGAAGTGAAGTGGGAGAGAGGATATGAGTGTGTCATATGTATCATTTTAGTTTCCTATTTTAACCCCAGTGTGTCGGCTGGATGTTGCTCAAATTTAACGTGTCTCGTCTCTAGATAAAGGTGGTTAAGGGGTGAGCGATAAGAGCTACATTAAAGGAAGACGTTACAACAACCCCAATAAATTACACGACAGGTTTCATTCAAATTCTTAGACGCTGTCAGTTCGTGTTACTTTAACGTGCATATTTGGGAGGTTAAGGTTTGATAAATATCTAAATGTTAAAACAATCTACGAAGAAATTAATTTGAAATTCGGTGGAGTTTTGGGTATTTTCTATGAAGCAGTCGATTGGAAAAATCCATAGACAGAACATTGAAAGAGCAATCAATTTATATTTAGTACTTTTTTCCACTAAAACTTTTATCTTATAGCTTGTTAGGTTGACATTTATTCGTTTGATTTTTTGTTCATTAAAAAACTCGTGGTTGTTTTTATGTACCCAATTATCAACAGTTATTCCCATTTAAATAATTTTATTCTCCACATTGGGGTAGTATCTTTCAATCTCAATTAAAATACTAATCTAAACTTTCCTTCGTGCTATTTAAAATTCACTTCCAATTGGAGAATATTAGAGGAGAAATTTGGAAGAGATGTCACTAGCAGAAAATTAGGCCCTTCTTTTACAATTTCTTATCTACACATGTCTTAAACCCCTATTTGTAACCACATACCTATATCTTCTTATATGCCTATGAGTTCCTATATACACCTACACACATTCACATCTAAACGATATATGTATATTTCCATCTTTACACATATACACCTGCAGAGAAAACGCACATCCACATGTCTCAATACCTATCTCCATGTATACTTATACTTACACATATACATCTACACACAAGGACATCTGCATATCCATATATATTCATACACATATATATATTTACACATCCATACGTATACACATATACACATACATACACACACCCATATATGCATACATACATACATACATATACATACACACACATATGCATATGCATACGCAATCTGCAGAATATCTATATACCCACATATGCGTTAATTTGCACTTACATATATCTACCCACGTATTTGTCCCTATCCTCATGTCCAGCCGTGCATCCACTTATGCCTGCGTTCGAAGACTATCTCAGTATTTAATTACATTATCTATATCTTTACACATATAATATTACCTGATCTTTCATATTTATGGCAAAACATATAAGTACCTATCTAATTGTACATCTCCACACTCACAAAAAAAAAAAAAAAAACCTGGTATGCTTCTTTTTTCCGTATAAAAACATATACATGTACATATCAACAGGTGTCTCAGTGTGCAAATACATTATCATAGTTGTATACATATAGTCATGTGTTAGCGTTCACGTGTGCATAGTAATATTTCTAAAAACAAAGGGAATATAAAACATTCAAAATTGCTGTTCCTATATGATTATTTCTTAGTGTACTTGCTTAGGTTTAGGTTGTTTTTGTGCGGCATTTAAAAAACTAGTTCATTGTGTCTATTTAGTAGTATGTCTGGATCTTTATGTTTGATTATGAAGATTTTCTCCTTCAAACATAAGTTGCATCTGTCTCTGAAGTTTTTGGGAGTTCTGGCTCTTGATATTATTCTCCACTTTATTTGTGGTGTTAGGCCACTTTCGAGTTTACTTAATGAACAAAAATCAAAAACAATCACGAGTTTACTTAATAAACAAAAATCAAACGAATAAATGTCAACCTAACAAGCTATAAGATAAAAGTTTTAGTGGAAAAAAGTACTCAATATAAATTGGATTGCTCTTTCAATGTTCTGTCTATGGATTTTTCCAATCGACTGCTTCATAGAAAATACCCAAAACTCCACCGAATTTCAAATTAATTTCTTCATAGATTGTTTTAAAATTTAGATATTTATCAAACCTTAACCTCCCAAATATGCACGTTAAAGTAACGCGAACTGACAGCGTCTAAGAATTTGAATGAAACCTGTCGTGTAATTTATTGGGGTTGTTGTAAGGTCTTCCTTTAATGTAGCTCTTATCGCTCACCCCTTAACCACCTTTATCTAGAGACGAGACACGTTAAATTTGAGCAACATCCAGCCGACACACTGGGGTTAAAATAGGAAACTAAAATGATACATATGACACACTCATATCTTCTCTCCCACCTCACTTCCTCACTTCGTTAACTTTGCGTATACTTGATGAGGCCGTAAAAAACGTGTGAATTTCTTTTCATTTTTCATTTCAGCTTTTGAAGTAAAGTCTGATGATCCAGAACCCTGTTAAAGGGTTATGGTGAAATAGCTTATTACATGGAATCTTAACGTGGTCTGTCTTTTATTCAAATATATATATATATATATATATATATATATATATATATATATATAGTTAGTTAGTTAAAATATAATTATGATAAAATATAGATGAGCCACAGACTTCAACTTGGAGAGTTGAGTTAAAGGGAGATAACTGAGACATCCAAAAGCAATATGGTCCATGGACCAAGAACAATCTACCTCGGTGGATGAAATAAAGGGTTCAGTGCAAAATTCCATTCACGTGAAGAAGACCGGAGTGTACAAAAACCTAAATGTCATAAATATGGCAATAAAGATGAGAACAACAGTCCAAATAATGTAAATAAGTTATTTTGTATTAAGTTTCCAATACAATTTAGTTTTTAGAATTTGCATTGTTGTTTTTAGTGGAGATCTTTATGAATACTGAAGGGCTTTTTTTACTTTTTTTTTTCAGTTTTCAAAATATATTAGAGGTTTAATGTAGTTTTGTTGGAAGCTTTTATTGCTTTATATTTTTATAAAAAGTTTGATTTCCCCTAATAAGGATGATGTTTATAATAAGTTAAAGATGTTGTTTAGTTTATTATTTTGAAAGAGTTCTTTAGTATTGTTTTCTTGATAATATTTTTGTTTGGTTTTGTCTGAGATGATGGTAACTTATGAGTATATGTTTAACTGTGGGACGTTCTTGAGGCCTGTTGCATGATGGGAGAGTTGAATTTTTTCATAGACGTGGGTGTGTGTTAGATTGTGTCCTATTCAAGGTTTAGATAAAACTATTTGATACTCTCTCCTGTCTTATTTTTGTGAAACCTGGGTGGGGCAACCATTCTCTCATATTTGGTTGAATATCAAATAGTTCATTATACAGGGGGGGGGGGGCTCTAAAGTCTGGAAACAGGAAATTTCATTAACTATATTTTTTTTACCTTCACAGATTAAACATGGTTTTATTAAAAGAAGAAAGAATTGGCTTCTTTTTTTGGAGTATGCCAAAGGAGAAGGTGTACTCAATAAAAATCACAGATGCAACACACTTGATTGAATGCATAAAGAGTGAATATGCTAAAATTAACGTCAATGTGGAGTTATTACAATGAGCTCATTTGAATCTTGCAAAGCATATCAATCTTTGCATTACAAATCATGGACATCATATTGAAGATGCTATCTGTTAATATTCCAATTCAATAAAATGTTGAAAAATTAATTTTTTGAAAATATGCATTTTTGCCTAGGGAATCCAGACTTTAGGGGCACACTTTAGTTTCTCATTTGGGCTTTGCTTGTAATTTTATAGTTTCAGTCTTTAGGGTTTGAT